TGTGGTTTATTTCACCTTTAACTTGAATTGTGGTTGTAAGGTAGTGCTCCTCTGTTTTGTTTAGAGGTCTGGAAGGACTTAATTTTAGAGAAAGGAGTGGGTGGGGGGTTTGAAGATTGATTTCCTGAAATACATGTTTTCCTGGAAAAACAAAATAAAAGTAGTAATCCCTGCATTTTAAATGTAAGGTGATGGATCTGTAATTTTTCTTTGTTCATACGGTCATAGTTTTGAGAGACCTTTGCCTCTCTTGCCTTCTAGTTTTATGCTATGGTCAGGGTGTTGAACCTGCCTTCGCTCAGTAGTTTTAATTTTCCTGATTGTCATCTGTAGTGATTGGCCAAGACAGCCAGCACTGAATGAGTAAAGGAAGATCAAGAAAAAAATGCAGAGAAGAAAAAACAATTTTGATAAGGCTGGTTGTCAGCATATTTGCCATGACAATAGGTCATATCAGATTTCATTCTATGATAAGATTACAAGTTTGATTAAAAAAAAAAAAAAAGTAATTACACAAAAACTTCAAACTACAGAATGTTCTGATAAGGAAATCGCCACCATAATATATCCATAAATACATCCACTGGGGGATTGAGTTCTAGCTGAAATGTTTAGGATGTGTGCAGCAGCATTGTCTCATCACTGTCAGCTGGCAGAGTATGCATGCATCACTGGGCAGTGGTCTTGAGGTTTAAAAACTGTCAGATCACAGAAAGTAGTCCATGATCAGCAGAGTATTGCTAGCAGAATTCAATAGGGACTGATAGGAAACCTGTCACAATTCAACACTTGACAGTGACCCAGAATAAATACAAAGATTCCACTGATACAGAACTGCAACAACACAAAGATTAGTCAAATATAATTAGTGACAAAAGGCAGTCCCCAGAAAAGTGCCATGAATATTACTTGGGGATGGGGAGAGAGAAGGAGAAACTCAGAGTTTCTCTGCTATCTTGAAGAAAATTCAGAAGTATAATGATTACAATATGTAAGTACTTTCACAAGAAGAATGTAGGAAATACTGAAAGACTGTTTTACTTGAGAAATGTGGGCAGAAAGTAGTAACTGGAAGCTGAATGCAGAAAGAGTCAAAGTAGAAATTAGATGCAATTCTTAAGAATGATTTTGAAGGGCCATTAGGGCACTGTACTAGAGGTATTAGTCAGTCTTCCCTGGACTTGAATGTTTGTTTTGGCCAAACTGTATGTCACGCACAGTCTGTACACTGTCTAGCTAATAGCAGTGGATGTCGGAGGGAAAACTTGGCAGCCCAAAGGTCAATATAGACTGCACAAGTCTGGTAAGAAATCTGGGTGCACACTGAGTTCAGTACACTGAAGCCCCTAACAATGCACCCACAGTGCTGCAGCGTAAGCCTCAGCTATGACTACCTCAGCAAATTTGCCTTTGTTTTGTTGTAGACTCGAGAGGAGGTGAAAGGAGCCTTAAGTTGAGGAGTAACAGTAGGGAGCCAAAACTTGAAGCTTTGTATAGGGATAAGAATGGGAGTATTGAATTGAAGTTTGAAGAAGTCTTATTTTAGCAGGAATACTTCACAAGCATTATAGGGAGATATTATCAGTGCTAGAAATGAAAAATGAGACATAGCAGTAGGCAAGAAAATGAGAGTTATGATGTGTAATACAAAAGAAAGCAAATCTTTGAAAAAGAAAAAGGCAAAATCCTGTTTCCAAAAAAAAAACAAAACCAAACAGCTCAGCATATAAATGACAAACTCCTTTTCCTCTAAAATAAGAGCTACATTCTGCTCTCTCTTCCAGACTTGAAACTTTATAAATGGCTTGATAGGAATAACTCTGTCTATAGCTCAGCTTCATCATCCAGTGCTCCTTTCAGCGTCAGTTGTGGCACTTTGCACAGGTCACCTCTGCGGTGCAAATTCCCTTCAACTGAACACAGTTTGGACTGATTTTACCTTTTATTTGAGTGATCATAGAGATGGGAGAATTTTAAAAACAGGATCCAGATCCCTGTTGAGATTTTTAATACCTCCTGTTTAGAGGTCATTTGGATTCAGGGTTTCTGCTTGGACCTATCCATACATTTTTGCAGTTATTCCAAAGCCTGTAATAGCATGCACACAGGTTATATTAATTTCCAGTTTCCAAATCCCTTAAGTGCTGCGGGAATTTTCCTGCTAATCCTCATTTTAATGCATAAGCCTAAAGGGTAGGTTTAGGACCTTTGGGATTTATTCTTTGTGCTAGCTGTTTTACAACTGAAGAATCTTTCAAGGGTAACAATAGTAAGTGCTAAATACACTGTTCTTGAACAGTTTGTGTTATCATAGTAATCTGCCAGTTTTTCAGTAAAGAAAGGGAAAGAAAGTGTGACTGTTGTTAGTAATTGCACTGCTTACAGTAGTTTTTAAACACATTGTAATATTAAACGTGTGCAAAAGTGTTAAATCCTGAGTGAACAACTTAGATCTTTTTATTTCCAAGGGCAAAATAACAGAGTTAGTATTAATCAAGCCACAAAAGGCAAGTTAAATGACAGCATTTTTGTGGTTGCTGTATTTCATGACTGAAAGTTTGTTATATTTTTCATGTTTGAATGTAAAAAATGAATGGAGCTACCACAAACTGCTCTTTGTTGTAAATGATGTGCGTTTTCTTTATGATGCATGCTTTGCCATATAAAAGGGAGTGCTTAATATGTTTCTGTTGGGAGATGCCTATTTATTCTGACAAACCGATCAGCCTCCGGGGTGTTCTTTTGCCACAGAACTGATTTTACATCTCATCCATTATCTAATCAGATGTGAAAAGAGTATCCTGGCTCAACAAAAAAAAAATCAAGCTTTGTCTCATCACAAGCATGTGACAGGGTCACTCATGGGCTTGCTTGCAAGATACAAAGTGGTTAGTGAAGAGTTCAGTTTACACACTTATGCAAACTTCCACTAGAGCAAGCCTCTGAGGAAATGCTGGTAAACACATTGATCCCACTCTTGAAGGGCTTTTGTTTAAATGTAAGAATAGAAAGTGGCCTCTTAGTGAGAAAATGCATTTCACATCCTTAAATAACACAGAATGAGATTATGGATTTTATTGTTGTAATAAATAGCAACACTTCCTAAACTACATTGTGAGGCAGCTGAAATACCTTTGCAATATATATGTCCTGGTTTTGGTTTTTTTTTTTTTTTTTTCGATCTTTCTTCAATACATCCTCCTTTTTAATATTTATGAAATGTTTAAAACTGCAATTTTAGGAAATTGGAGAGAATAAAGGAAGCTGAGGCATTCTGTGATCATGCAGTGATACCGTGCCTGTGTACAAAGCCCTTTCAGACAAATGTTTTCAGTCTGACATATTCATAAGAAATAAATTCCGGAAGGAAAAAGAGAATAGGAAATACCCAAAGAGGTACAGTTAAGCCTGGCCATAACTTCAGCTGCTAAATGATAACAAATCTTGGAGATATTAGATATTCAGAGGGAGTATGTCTACATGCTTGGACAATGTTCAACAAAAAAGAAAAACTTTTAAGTGCAAGTTGTTGTCATTGCATGATACTGTATTATAATAGAGCAACCTTTCATATGGCATGCCTTGCAGAAGTGCCTTCCTTGTTATTGTTTGCTAAGAAGTGCATAGGAATTAAGAGATCAATGTCAGCTGGAGTAAAGGAAAACATTTTAAATCACTGACAAAATAGTGAGAGAAGTGGCAGGAGAGCGAGCAAGTGATTTGATTCGATACCTTTGGAAGGTAGAGCATTCACTCCATTTCTTCACTCCAAATTTCCCTGGCTTTTTGAATAATAGACTCAACCCTTTTGGAATTGCACAATGCTGCTTTTCATAAAAGCATCATTTCGTTAGCATGACAATGAAATACAATTTTCAGTAGTTCTTAGAAAAGTGACAATAAGTCTTCAAAGACTTCAAAATGAAATTGGAAAAGATGGAATTTGTGTCAGACAAATGTCTCAGTGTCATGTTCTCCTGATATCCTTTATTCATTACAAGCGAATGCAGCTCTGTATCTAAAAATCAAGGCTGTTTTATCAGTCTTGCTTATAATACCGGTCAGAACAGCTTACTGCTGAGAGATCTTTCTGAGTCTAGACTGGCATCAAGACAGTGTGGCTTTAAAACAGCAAAAGAGAGACTCATTTTACATTATTGACTTTTCCTCTTACCTGCAAGGACACAGAATTTAATGCAGCGGTGATGAGTCAAAGATTTTGACACATGTCAAGACAGATATCTTCATTTTAGAGTTTAAAAAAAGGCATTGAATGTGATACATATGAAGCATTTTGGGTTGGAGAGGCAGCTCAATCTGAGAGAAGAACAATTGTTTTATGCATCTGCAAAAGAATGAACTCTTATGTAAAGAAAAATGTTCCTGAAGGAAGATGAAATCAGAACAATTGCTAGAAATCTAACCTTGTCTAGTGGGAGTCCCTTAAAACCCATGATAAGTAACCTATCATTGCATTCTGACTGTGGACTTCTTAAACCAATCTGTACGAGTCCATATCAAGGGTATAATTTTCTAGAAAATGGTGTTTTATATAACTTCTATAAAGTGATCATCTCCTAGTAAATTCAGTCACAGTTTTCCATAGAGAATGCATTTGACTCAGAAGTACGAATAGGCTGCATCCTTTAGCAAACACTATAAAGCAGACCTGCCTGTTTCAGCCACCACCCTTTTTGCATAGATTTTGTTACAGCAGAAACAAACTGAGAAGTACCTAGTATGATTTTGTCCCTAAGCTGCCGGTGGAGCAAAATCTTGTTTTTAATAATGGCATTTATGAGAAGTTTATGATAATAACTGCAAAACTGTCATGTTAATGATCAGATTGTATCATGAGATGCACAATTTGGAGGATTATGGGAATTTAATGGGATGAGGAGGCCAAGAGATCATCTGCTATATGACTCTTCACGGTTGTAATCTGCTGTCTGCATCCCTAATGCGTTTTTATCACTTTTGTATTTTGGTTTGTTTTCCAGTTTGTGTTCTGCCGTGAATGTAAAGAAGAATACCATGAAGAGGAATGCAGCTCTTTCTTCAGCACACAGGGAGCTGTGGCCCAAAAGGTAGAGATACCCACAACTTATTGCATCTTGATCATTCTCCTTTGCCCAGCAAGAGTGATATTTGTTAAGTTGATCCTAATTATAATCCTAAGCCAAAACAATTATGTTCATGATGAATTGCTCTGGCCATTGAGGTTGACTTTGTGGTAGATTTCAGTTGCTTTGATTGACAGAGCAACTGAGTTGTCAGGAGCACACAGAGGTCTGCAATCAGTTGATAAAGAAAAGCCCTTCCCAATGGGCTTCTAGGGCTATCTCTGTTTAATGTGAACACCTCTGAAAGGCTTTCTTTAGTCTTGCTGCCTTGCAGCTTGTATTCAGTGCACCAGCCATCATGTGGGTTTGGAATGAATAACAGGGTTTTTATTGAGCCTGTGGGAGAAAGTGCTGTTGATAATTTATGTTTTAGCTTGGAGAAATAAAAAACGGATTGCCTAGGCTAGAAGCTGTTAGGTGATAATTACACTAGGCTGTTCTGTAATGTTGTGACTATTGTAGCTATAGCCCTGGACAGGAAATTGTTTTTCTCTCCTGGCATTCCTGTTTGAGATTGAAGTGACTGAAGTTTCCCTGCTCTCCATGACTAATCAATCACAGTCGATTAAAACAAAACAAACAACAACAACAGCAACAAGAAACAGGAGAGGTTCCCCCTAAGTATCTAAATATCTCACTGATTGATGGTCAGGCTGATCTTCTAGGAAATAAAACACTGAAATTCAGATGTCTGGCATGCCTGATGTTTAGAGATAAAGCTAACCCAGGCCCCAGGCAGTTCAACACAGCAGATGCAGGATTGTAAGCAGGTGCTGACAGGGTGTGCAAGCCAGCTCTCAGCTACACATGCACAGCTCCTGTCAGCACCTACAGGCAGGCTCTGTCTTAAGCTGGCATTTGGGCCTCGCTCTTTGAATGCAGAGACTGAAATGGAGCTAGGAACCTGAAGGGAACCTTTCCCATCAGTTACCATAAGATGGTTCGTTTACTATACTTTGGAGACAATGCAGGAGGCTACGACCCATGTAGAGGTGTTTCTCTAACTTTTCTTAGTGAAGTTCCTCTACTTTATAAAAAAGAACCAATGCTCATCAAGACAGAATTAAACAGACTGTATCCTAGCACATCTGCCTTCAGTGCCCTGCAAATGGTGTATTGTAGAAGACTCAAAATCCATCTAGCCCAGAGCCCTGTTTCTGACAGTTCTCAGCTACTGATGTCTAGAGAGGAGTACAAGTATAATCATGCCTCATTCTCTGAATATTCTCCCAGCTTCTAGAGACTTATGATTGAGGTATAGAATTTTGTATTTAGCAGCCAACAGCAAATTTTTATTCCTTAAATTTGTGCAACCCCCTTTTGAAGCCATACATGTACTTCTGGCATTCACATTACTTTGTGACAAGTAGCAGCTTAGCTGTTCTCCACGAAGAATAAGCTTGTTTTGTTTGCAGCAGCCTTAGAAAAGTGTTCCAGCTCCCATTCACATCTATGTAAAAACAAAACAGCTTCAACAAAGACATTGAAAGATTCTTTCCAGTAAAATGGTGAAGTAAAGAACAAAGCTCAAAAACTTACCCAAATTATGCAGAGCTAGAAATTGAATACATTTCAACATGAATAATGTGCCTTATATCCACCAAGCTATTTATGTCACTGTACAAAGAACTTCAACAATTTTGAGTCATTGAAAATTAGAGCTTGTATAATTTCCATGCTGGCTAAAGTTAGAAGACCATAGGAAGAAGTGGTTTATTTTAAAGACTTGCATATTGCTCTAGCTTCTCCTGATAATAGTGTGAGTGCTACATCCATCTGATCCCAACTCTCGCACAGGAGCTGTACCCAGTTAGATCTGTTAGCTTAGGGAAGTTGATTACTATTGATGTTTAGGTGTAAAGTGAACATTTTAGCTGCTCATGAAAAACTTCCAGTGCTCTTGAAAAAGCTGTTCTGAGAATAGTTAAATAGTGCCAGGATATCTCTTTTAGCTGTGCAAATCTGTTCCCCAGTACAGAGAAGATTACAGACTACTCAATTCATTCAGACTCTGACTTGTGTGGAACACAATTGACTTAGTTCAGCCTTCTTGTTCTTAGAAAGTGAAATGCACTGATCAAACTCCTCCACAAGGTGGTGATGTGCTACTAAAGAAATGTTTTCACTCGCTTCTAGCAAACACTTGAGCAAACTGGGAGCTAGCTAAAGCAGTACCAGCCGAAGTGCTGGTGAGATGCTCTTTTCATCTGAATTGCATCAGTAAAAAATTGTCTTGCATACATCACAAGTGTATAATGCATACAAAACATTCACAAAGCTTATATGGAAAGAGGTGCATGTGAGACTGTTTCATCTGTTTCACTGAAATTGATTTAAATATTTATCCACCTGTATTTTCTGCTTTTGTCCTTTTTGTCCTCATTGAGGCAGAATTCTGTGTGTGAGAGCTTTTGAGAATTTGCTATTATTGTACTGTTTTTCCGACTGTGATAACTTTGACCATGTCTGTCTAGTTAGGAATAATACATTTCCAGGGTTGCCTTTTAGGGCTTACGTTCCTCCAGTTCTACTCTTACCCTTTCCCCTAGTCAGAATCCTTTCCATTTCATTTATTTTACAAACAGATCTTACTGCCACAATAACTAGTAGTCAGATTTAAGGGTCAACCAACATGCAGTCACCAAACCATTCTGCTCCAGAACTGATAGATCACAAGATCACAGGATGTGTAGTCTCGGGAAAATATCTTCTATCAGAAAAATACAGGTTTTATTCTATCTTCTGGTGGCTACAATAGTAAAAGGAATCTTCCCTTTCCTTAGTGTTCCTACACTCACCTGCATGTCTTGACATTTCAAGTGTAAGAGGAAACATTGTAGATAGGTTTAGGCTTAAGTCAGTATGGTGGCTATGAATGTAGGGGATCATGAGGAGTGGAAAAGAACTTGAAGCACAGCCAAAAAGTGCTATTGTGGAAAAAAATGGGTGGGCAGGCATTGATGACAACATTGAGAGTGAGAAGAGCTGTGCTGCTACTCAAAGCATGTTCTTGTGGTCCCTATGTCAGAGCACTGGGGACTGCCCATGCCTTCCCCTGCTTCACCAGGAACAGGGTAGTATGAGGCCTGGCACTGCACGCCTCCCTGCTTGCTGTTTAGGATAGAAAAAGAGAAATCTAGCAATGGGAATGTAGAGAATAAGCTAGCATTAAATACTGGTATACTAATATTACATATTACATATCTCTGTGCAGATATTGTATGGTTTATTGGGATGGATAAAATGTCCTCTTTTCTACAGATGTTTCCATTTTTAGCCCTGATCTCCTGTTGAAAACTCATCCTAAGAATGTACTGATTATTTCCCATCTTAATGCATAGGTTACATAATTCTAGGGGAACAAAAATATATCTGAGCCAACTTCGATTGATAAGCTTTCTTTTAAAAACATTGCAGCTTCTTAGGGCTATTTGAAAATCAGGATGTGAGAAGTAATTATGTTTGATGGATTAAAAGGCACAGTGTGTATGAAGGAATCAGTGATACAATAAAGGTGACTCCAGCCAGATTTAGATTTAGAAATAACTGCATAGCACCTGCTGCCTACACCACAAAACCAAGCTTCCTGGCTCCTTTTAACCTCACTCATATATAGGGGGAATCCAGCCATAAACCAGCTTCCTCTCTAAATCCGCAACTTAAAATTAGACTAGCTAAACTGGCACAAAACCTTTCTGAACAGTTTGATTTTTACCACTAACACTAACACAACAACTGCTGTAAACCTAAGCCTTCATAAAACATTCCTGGTGTTTAATGTCTTAAAACTTGCCAAGTAGTCCCTTCTGCTCCAAGCTTAGCTATTAAAATCCTATCAAGTCATATGTACACTTAGTACAAGCCTGAATTGCTACTTAGCTAGTACTAGCAGCCCTAGCCCTACGAACTGTGTGATTCAGGAAAATCCAACACTAAACATTAAATATTTAGGTGTTGGTGCAGCTACAAATTAACAGTTTCCGTTACATAAGTTACAGAATAGGTTGTGTGAATGTCTGCCATTTTCTTAAACTGAAAAAGTCTTGCTCCCCACTGAAGGTGTTCATTTTAGACTACGTTCATTACGTGTGCAAAGTCAAGATTTTATTGTCAGTCTTATCAAAATATTAACAGGTTAATCAAAGAACTATTTTTAGACCATTTATAATAACAGCGGGACTTACCGTTCAGATTTCGTCTACTGGATTTATGCAAGACCTTTGACATGGTCTCCCACAACATCCTGATCTCTAAATTAGAGAGATATGGATTTGAAGGCCAGGCTATTAGGTGGATAAAGAATTGGTTGGGTGGTCTTAGCCAGAGGGTTGTTGTCAACAGTTCTGTCACAAGTGGTGATCCCCGAGGGTTCATCACTATGGCCTTCCAATATTTAAAGGAAGATTATAAACAGAAGGGAAATCAACTTTTTACACATGTAAATAGTGATAGGACAAGGAGGAATGGTTTTAAACTAAAAGAGAGGAAATCTAGGTTAGACATTAAGAAGAAATTTTTTTCTCAGAGGATGGTGAGATGCTGGAACAGAGTGCCCAGAGAGGTTGTGGATGCCCCATCTCTGGAGGCATTCAGGCCAGATTGAGTGGGGCCCTGCACAGCCTGATATGGTGGGTGGCAGCCCTGCCTGCAAGAGAGGGGTTGGAAATGGATAATCTTTAAGGTCACCTTCAACCTAAGCCATTCGATGATTCTATGATAGTTAAAATTATGGATATGTAAAGTTTTTGATGTTTCTCTGGTGTTATGTAGGACTTACTCAACAACTTTTTTTGCCTCATTCTTCACTGACAACTGCTCTTCATACACCCCTCAAGCACATGGGTTGGAAGGCAAGGACTAGGGAAGCAATGTCCATCCCATTGTAAGCAAAGATCAAATTCATCTACAGAACCTGAACATTCATAAGTGTATGGGTCTGGATGACATGCCTTCCAGACTGCTGA